GCCTGCATATATAAAGTTATTTATTATAGACTATTCCAACAAGTGGAGGGTGAAGAAAGTTCTACCTTGCATTATCAAAATTTTAATTCATGTCAAGGTATTATTTATACATTAACGGATGTTATCGCTAAACGAAGGCCGACATCACTTCAGGTGCTGTTGATGAAATTGTTCATGACTGTTGTGTTAAGGTCCATTCGACGCCTTGGGAGACGGGTGATACTGCAGTGAAGGGTTCTATTGCTATTTGCTAATCCTTCTTGCAAGATTCGTCAAATGATCTATGCAACGGTTACCCTCCATAGAAGATGATGGATCTGGATAACCTAATCTTCCTGCGTTAGTGCTTAACAATTCTTAATCAATGTGTCCGATGAGTGCTCATCTGAAAAGGACGGCTGAGCATATAAACCACAAAAAGTGCATCAAGTTCCACGATCAACCATGATAACCCGATTTCATTAGCGAAACACAGACCTTACCGAACTCACCACCCATGCTATAAATAAACGCAAACTCCATCATAAAGCATCGAATCCAAGCTCCATTTTCATCTCGCAAAAAGACCACCAGCTGCCAAAAGAGGCGTCATCGGAATTGAACAACATCACTCCCAGTGGTGGTTTATTCCAGCCGACCCAATGAGACCCTCTAGCTATTCGGGTCACTTCGAAAAGTGTCAATATAATGAGTAGCATCAATTAGGCATAATGTTAAAAAAATACCCTAACGTTTGATTAAATAATCACTCTAATTTTTATTCTAATTTAGAGCATTTTTGACACCAATGTTTTACTGCCTAACAAAGTATTAACTACTTGGCATACATGATGCCCGACTGTCCACAACTGCTTCCCTGTTCCCATTATCTACCATTTTATAGGATCTTAGTAAATAATATTCTAGGCTATTCATTATAAATATCTTAGGAGTCGTTCTTAGTGTTATGATTATTTTTTGAGTTTCTAGAATTATTGGCTGTATTAGTGTTGAAGATTCTTGCACAAGAATACTTGTAATCCAAATGATTGTTTCGTTTTCATATGCATTTCTTTCCTTGGCCTTTCGCCCTCTAGCAATTCAGGTTACTTCCGAATGTGGCACGCTGGACAAGCTGTGTTTCGGCTTATCCAAAGCACAAGAAGGAAAAACATTATGTTTTGCAACCAAATATGAAACTATTGATTTGTGTCATAAGCCATAAGAAAAAGACATTCGGTCGGGGCATATAACTAACCACATCCACCAGATATTCACATAATTCGGGTTCGGGTTGTGAAATTCCTCCTTTGCTATCATCATTCTTGGATAACGTCTTTCCTACTTTACACCATAAAATTCTTCAGCTGTACTTAATTTAAGGGCTTACCTAAAAAAGGTGCAGTAATTTAAAGGATTTTTTTAAATATATCATATGAAACCGGTTTTTTGTGAAGAAAAGAAATTATCGTTGGCTAATTTGAAATGAACATGATCCCATACTGTGGAGATTTGATCGAACCGAGGTATGATCTGTACTGATATTGAAGTTCATGCAAATATCCAACTGTCAATGTCGAAGGGATTCGTTTTGAGTTAAAAAAGTCAAATGCGGAAATGCCCCAGCCTAGCAACCATATAAAGAAATAAATCAATTGCACTACTTCTCAACCTCAATCTCTTTTAAAATTCAAGGCGCATGATTTGCAAGTAATATTATAAGTATCTACCTGGAAATGCCAAACTCACACGCATAAGATTAATTATAAAATTTATAAGTTATGGAGTGCATGTCAGAATATCTTCTGTAAAGGTTACTGTAGCACAGGGATGAAGGAACTTTGGAATTAAAATGAATATAATAATATATATATATAGCAGCCAATATATTTTAACTTTCTTCTTGTTCAGACTCATGAATGCCTATATATATGGACAACAACATGTGTAGTTTCATGCAGCAAACGCATACATTTAACACAGAAAAGGGTTTGAGCCGATAGAGTTAAATAAAAATGATGGCAGGAAATGGGATTGTTGCAGATGAAGAAAACATCTATAATGACACTAAAGTCCAGGATCTTGCCTTTACTCCAACGTAATTATGCACCGAGTTTCATTTACTTCGTTTTGAGGCCTGAATTATTCTTAATTTGGGTTGAAGTTTCTTTCATTTTTGCAGGCGAGGGAAATTTAAGGAAAAACCCGAGGCCAAAGTCCCATTATCGACCAAGGTGTTAGGCCTTGAAGTGCTTTCCTCCTTGGAGGTTAGTGCTTGAATTCCCAGATATTAATTGTTGTTAAATTTTGAGTTGCTATGCATTGTTTAACTGTATTGGAACTTGGATCATAGGTATGGAGGGCTTCTTTGGCAGAGCTTCTTGGGACTGCGGTGCTGGTTTTTGCATTGGACACCATTGTTATCTCGACATTGCAGACCGAAACAAAGGTACCCAACCTTTAATGTCGGTCCTGATTGCCTTCGTCGTCGCCATGCTCCTCCTACCTAATATTTTTCGGTCCAGCTGTTGTTAGAGGAGGTCACCTTTGGAACGGACACTGGATATTTTGGATTGGACCGGCCATTGGGTGCGTGGCTTTTGTTCTATATGTTAAAATGATTCCACGTGAGCATACTCACAGCTACTGATTAAACGAACAGATATTGTTGCTTGGTTATAAGTGTCGTCGTTGGGAAAAATATGTTGAGCCTAGCTTATCCTGTAATATTTTGCCTTCATGAGGTCCTTATTTAGCTGATTATATAAGCTTTCATCTTTTTTGTCTGTTCAAGTATAATATATGTCATTGGATAAATAACATTTAATCCCTAAACTTGATATTTCTCGATTTTGACATTTGAATAATTTAAAATTAAACTTATTAACCTAGTTTTCTTTTTAATATTTTTGTGTCATCTTCTTCTTTCTCTTTGATTTTTATTTAGTCGACATCGACACCAATCTTAATGTTGGTTGCCAATAGGAGGATATTAGTTTTAAGGAAAAATCGTGCTTGAATTCCCATTATCAGTTTTGGTCCGCTTTAGAACCTAAACTTCATGGTTATCAAAACCGGACCAGACCGACCGGTTCAACCGTTTGAACCGTGAACCGGTGGCCTGTCTGGTCCGGTTACCTCACAAAACCAGACTAGCAATGAATCGGCTGAAAATCGGTAGAACCGGCTGAAAATCGGGGTGAACGGGCTAAAAACCGGTAAAACCGGTTTGAACCGCCGGTTCACTTTTTTTCTTTTAAAAAAAAATTAAACCAAACGACGTCGTTTGTTCAACGAGCCGAGTCAAATTCGAGTATTGTTGAGCTCGACTCGAACTCGAAAACTTTAAAAGTAAACTCAACTCGACTCAAAAACTCACGAGCTAAAAATTATCGAGTTCAACTCGAACTCGAAATATAATATTAAAACTTGAACTCAAAAAGGCTCGAATTCAAAAAAAAATTAGAAGTTCGATTGAAGCCTAAAATTTGAGCTCAATTGAAGCGAAAGAATAGTTGGCTCTGTGCTCACCAAAAGGCTCAATGATTTTGAATGTCAAATTACCTCTATTATTTATAGAAGTAAGTTGGGATGCTCTTCTATGTTTCTTAGCCATGTGAGATTGTTTTGTTATCATATTTTTACTTTTTAAACTTTTGAGATGCTCTTCTATGTTTCTTAGCCATGTGAGATTATTTTTTTTAAAATTAAACTAAATGACATCATTTGTTATGATTTTTTAAGCCCCAATTTTATTTTTTTGATTATAATTATATTTATTATTTAATATGTTTTACCTTAAATATTATGTTGTAGTTGATTTGAATCATTTTGTTTCATTTGATTTTATGGTTTTTAATTTATATATGTTATGACTTGTGATATTTTTATACCTTTTAATATTGTAAACTTAAAAAAATGTTACATATATATTAATATTGCTTTGAATATTATGTAAAATTTAAAAAAAAAATTATTTATATAAAATCCGGTTCAAACGCGGTTGAACCTGGTTGAACCAGTGAACCAGTACTTTCACCGGTTCAATGTCCGGTCCGATTTTAAAAACATTGCTAAACTTTCACTTTTTTCCCCCAAAACTTAATGTCAAGTTTTGGACGGGTAAAAAATGAAACAAAAACTAAACGTTAGCTATGATTTTGAAAAAATAAAAAATAAATACTAAAATAGATCAAAACTGATAATCTAATGGCGTAATTTACCCAAAAAAATTAATTACTAAAAAAAATCAAAACTATAACTCATATTAGAAATTGTCCTCAAATTTAAAAAACTAATTCTGATATTAAAATTTAAACCAAATTTGAGAGCTGTTGTAGTTAAAACTGACAGTAACTACTTGGTCTTTGAGCAAGGCAAGGGCATGGAGATCTTATTCCTCGTCGTTCCACACATTGTTGACTTCTTCAACGAGAATGGAGATTGAAGTTGTCATATACATCGTGACGGAAATAGGGTGGCAAACGACACGACAAAATTAATATGGAATCTTCCGTTTAGTACTCGGACGTTTTGGTCTCCACCTATAGAGCTGCTTGTTCAAGATGAAATTCCGGCCGCCGCAAGGAGCTTAGTGCCTTAGGATATCAGTCCATTCAGTTTTCTTTCTCTTGCATTCAAATAAAAATAAATACTTTTTAAGTTAGATTAGTATTGAAGTTTTTTTAACATAAATAAATTCCAAAACTTGTTTAATCTAAAAACTATTTATTCTCTATTATGTACTGGATTAATCAATTTGGTGCAATGGTTAACCTTTAAAGGTTGTGTTTTGAGAACGTGTGTTTGAATCGTTGGATTAAGTCTGTTTTTTCTCTCCCCCTATTTTCAAGAATCAATTTTTGTACCCACAATCTTATTTTAGATTTTCTGTTTTACTTTCTGGAGAGAAAATAAGTTTGGGAATTGAATAATGACTGGGAAAAAGAAGACAAAGTTTGCTGCGTCAGCAAGTATATCCGCTAGAGTATCACACCACCAATAACAAACAGTAAGCATAACATCGTTCATTTCGTTACTCGATAAGCTACTCCTTTCCTTTCTCTCCTTTCAATGGATTCCAACGTAATCTTCTTCTCTTCAAAGTTCCAGACCCCAAATTTCACACCTTCTTTTCCATCCCCCTCTTCCACTTCCCGCCCTCTAATCACCCGACAATTCCTTGGTTTCACTCACAATCTCTGGCCTCCCGGGGGGTCTTCTCTCAGGAAGAAACGCAAAAGCTTGGGGTTTAATCGCCTCCAATCTCCCCGCTTTCTCGTCAGAGCTTCTATAGACTCCAATTTGGTTCTCGTTGTCATCGGTGTAACCGCGTTATCTGCTTTATCTCTTACTATCTACAATCAGTTTTTGAGAAAGAGTGCGACTTCAAAAAGGGTAAGTTAGCTGATTGAATTGGAGGTTACTATTTGGTTTAACATAAGTTTTTCTAAATTTGGTTGTTGTTTGCGTTGTTGGTTTTCACTATCTGTTTTTTTTAATTATTATTAAGTGTTGGGATTATGGTAGTTGTACAAAGAACTATCTGAGAAGGCTCGAAATTTGAGCTGTGAATGAATGCACAGATAAAATTGAGAAAGATGGTTTAAGCACTCTCGTAATTATAATTGCTGTAGACCAAACTTTGGGGAACAACTTATTTCATGATAATTATGATGATTTTCCTTTCTATATTAGGATTTACCGAATTCTGGCATTTGGGTTGCCTTTGGGTTTAATTCTGTTTATTTTCTGAAGTGACTAATTATTCTAATATGATGTCTATGCGCAGGTATCTCGTCCGTCACGGTCTGCTATACCTCAACAACGAGAAGGAAAAGATGTGGTGATCCAGACTGCTGACAGTCAGAATTTGGAAATGGGTGATCTTCAAAGGGAAACTTTTACAAAAGAAAATGGTGGTTTTACTAAAAACATGAGGGAGGTGAATGATGCTTCTGAAAGTAGAGAAGTGCTTTTGCAAGAAACTAGTGTGGTGAACGGTGATTCTTTGTTGGCTAAGGCATCTTCTGAAAGTGAAGAGGCGCTTTTGCAAGAAACTACTGTGGTGGATGGTGATTCTCTGTTGACTAAGGCATTTTCTGAAAATAAAGAGACGCTTTTGCAAGAAACTACTGTGGTGGATGGTGCTCTGTTGGCTAAGGCATCGGAGTCAAATGGTGCTGATTTCCTGGCATTTAATGATAATGATTCTGTTGGTGTTCCTGAAGAATCTGGAACTACTGATATACCTCTTCAACCTACTGTGCAGCTCGAATCAGGAGCAGGACAGTCACTTGAGTTTGACACAGAAAGGTCTGAACTTCATTTGGAAGAAGTTGTGAGAGTAAATGGATTTGAAGCTGATTTCCCTAGACTAGCTGTAGAGCCAAAGTCTAGGGCTTCTGCGGCTCTTGCAGAAGATGTTGTTGTCCTTGTAGGAGGAGGTGAAGCTACTAGAAGTTATGACATATTCAAAGAATCTGGAAGAGAAGAGCTTCACACTTTTTATAAGGCTGACCAGTCGGTGGAAAAATCGTCAACAAACTTGAACGGTTTGACCCTAAAACCAGCGTCTTCTCATGTTCTCTCTCCACATACCAATAGGTTTTCTTCACTGAAACTGAAGCTGAATGGTGAAGTAAACAGAGGCGTCAGAGATCAATTATCAGCAAAGAATTCTCTCCAAACAGCAGGTTATGCAAAAAAAGACATCTGACATTATGATCCCTTTTTAATGTATGTTGTAGTTAGCATTGACATCTTTCCTTTTTCTTTTGATCCATATTTCAGCAGTTTGTCCTGAATTTTGGCTTTTTTGGTTACTAACATTGTTTGGATACTTCTTATCCAGAAATGGTAGAAGGAAAAGTAACTCAGCCATATTTTCAAGGAGGCTTTTCTCACAAAAGAGAAGACTTCAGAAGACGTAGGGAATCTCCAAGAGACGTGGAGAAAAAACACTTGATTCAGGAGAAGGATACAAAGCTGGGCCAGTTTTCTGTCCCAAATGGGGAGCTTGCTAATAACAAGCACCATCTTGAAGAGCATTTGAGTTCTTACAACCGTTTACTAAGACATGGAAGGTAACTTGCCATTATCTACATGTTCAGAAACTTTATTTGTCCCCCTTTGGCTAGACTAATTTAATGCTGTATCAAAAGCTTGTCTTTAAAATGAAATAAAGCTTAGGTGAAATTGATCACTTTTATTATTAGACACTGACATTTTAATTTCATGTTGTGATCTCTAATAACTATTTATTTTCATCTCTTAATCTTGTTTTTGATTCATAATAGGTTAAGTGACTGTGTAGATTTGCTTGAAGATATGGAACAAGGGGGTTTGCTGGATATGGATAAGGTAGGGCTGGTAATTTAGCTACATTTCATTGGGTTTTCCAGAGAAAAAAAGGAGTGGTGTTAATGTTATTCTCTTTTATGAGAACATCAAATTCTTTTGGTTTCAGGTTTATCATGCAAAGTTTTTCAAAATGTGCAGTAGGCAAAATGCTGTTAAAGAAGCTTTCCGCTTCACAAAGCTGATTCCGAATCCAACCTTGAGTACATTTAATATGCTCATGTCTGTATGTGCATGCTCTAAGGATTCAGAGGGTGAGTCATTATGTTTTGTCAGACTGTTAGGTGCTTTTAAACACTTAATCTGCATAAGATACTTTTGTTTGAATATGCTTTGAATATCTAATGTCTTTGCAAATTTAGGAGCCTTTCAAGTTTTGCGACTTGTCCAGGAAGCTGGTTTCCAAGCTGATTGTAAACTTTACACTACATTAATATCTACATGCGCCAAAAGTGGCAAAGTTGATACAATGTTTGAGGTATGGAAACTTCTAACTTTTCTTGGTACCACCAAGCTGTTCACGTCTTGCTGTTACAGTTTGCATTTTCATTCCGCTTTTCCTAATCTTTCCACCCTCACATGAGAATTCTTCCCTCTGAAACTGATTATATGTAGAAAAAAGAAATCTACTGTTTAATCTTTTTCTGTTTTGGAAATTTGAAATTGAAATTTCAGTACAGGTAACTTTATTTCCTAATTTATTTTTTCTTCGAGTGCAAACTGATAGAAATGTTTTCTTCGTATTTTCATTGCATATCACATGTTGACCAAATCTGACAGATAAACATTTGGTGCTTTTTGGTTATACAATTACATTTCATAAAAGCAATTTATAACTTACTAGTGAATAGTAATCTGATTGTTAATCTTACTCCATAGGTGTTTCATGAGATGGTTAATGCTGGAGTGGAACCTAATGTTAATACATATGGAGCACTGATTGATGGTTGTGCTAGAGCCGGGCAAGTGGCCAAAGCATTTGGTGCTTATGGAATAATGAGATCTAAGGTATTATTATGAAAATAAGTTATTTTCTCTTATTTATTTAGAAGTTATTTTATTATATGTATAGTTTCTTCACACTAATTAAAGCAATATATGCAGTAGAATGTAAAGCCAGACCGGGTTATATTCAATGCACTTATCACTGCATGTGGCCAATCTGGAGCAGTGGATCGTGCTTTTGATGTGTTAGCAGAAATGATGGCTGAAACACAGCCTATAGATCCGGATCATGTTACTGTTGGTGCATTGATGAAGGCGTGCTCAAATGCTGGTCAGGTATGCATACCAATTGTTGTCATCTTTTCTCGGTTTTCCTTTAACATCATAATGTATTTGCTTACAGGTTGATCGGGTACGAGAAGTATATAAGATGATACATAAATTCAACATCAGGGGCACTCCCGAAGTTTATACAATTGCTGTTAATTGTTGCGGCGGGACTGGTGATTGGGAGTTTGCTTGCAGTGTCTATAATGACATGAAAAAGAAAGGTGTGGCTCCTGACGAGGTATCCTCTTGCTCCTCTACATTTTCTTTTCTCCTACTTTTCCCTCGTTTTTATCTTTGGGGTCTGCATGCCCTCCCCTTTGAACATAGGGAATAGTGTTAAGTCATGATAGGGGTTAGGGGGGGGGTGTTTATTTTAAAATGAAATACTCATTTTGATCCTGGTTCTGAGTTTGTAGGGTCTCTTATTTTGTGAGTTAAATCTGTGTAGTCATCTAGGTCTGGGGCTTTTCATAATGCTTGAGAGTTGTGACACATAATACACCATAGGAAAAAGCAATCGCCTTTTAATTTGGTATTTAAGCATTGAATCATTGCTCTCAAAACTGACCAACAGAATCTAATTGGTCATCGCACCTGCCTCTTTGCATTAAAAAACGACTGCAATGCCGTTGACTGGATTTGGCACATTCTTGTTTCAAGATAAACTAGCAGCTCCTATGAATAATATTGTAGGACTTTTAAATAGTCTGAGGTTCACTAAACTTAAATCAATTTTTGCATGTAGGATGCCATGTCCTTGATCTCAGATCAGTTGTGATCATTTTTTTTTTCTTTTGTCGTTAGTTTTTTTTTACTGTATCTTGATTTATCTCTTTCTTGGCTCATTTGGCAATGATAATGTTTGCTTTAATGCAGGTGTTTATCAGTGCCTTAGTAGATGTTGCAGGGCATGCTGGAAAGCTAGATGCTGCTTTTGAATTGGTACAAGAAGCAAGGAATCTAGGGATTAATACTGGGATTGTGTCATATAGTTCATTAATGGGAGCCTGCAGCAATGTAAGTCTGGCCAGGCATTCGTGTTGAGAAAATTGATTAGCATATTACTGTATTGAAGTACTAGAACAGCATGATACACACATGATGTTTAAGGTTTATTGCTGTTTCAAAATAGACAATTGCTGAATCATTTGATTTTTGTGTATTTCTTTGCTTAGCCATGCACATGCTGCATTGGGTCTGGCATTGAAATTGTCTTGTACGCAATTTTTTTTTTGATAGGAATTGCAGGCCTCGTTAAAAACCTCCTTCATGATTAAAGGAGCTTATAGAGAAGCTCCTTAATCAGCGGAAGGAGAAAAAGAGTGCCTTAAGATTTTATTAACCATAGAAAGAACACGATACAACCAGGGAGCCACCCCCAATATGAACAAAACACCAAAAACAGCCACCAACAATCCTACCAGAACCAGCCTAATCCAACAAAGCAACAACAACAGCCTAAAAAAGACTGGCCAAACAAAAAACCTAAACGAGGCCCGATAGACACTCAATCAAACAAAACAACCAGAAAAAAGCCAAGGGTGACAGATGACTAAAACCATAAAAGCCAACTTCTAACTCAAAGGCCACAGAGCTTTCACATGATAAGAAAACAAAAAAAAAACACGCACATAGCCGCCTTTCCACCACATCACCACGTCTTGTTGGCTAAAGACCATCCGAACTTCCAGCTCCAGACAAAAAGCATGGTGTAGATCACCTGAACCTTCTACTCCTTCCCCCGCCATCGTCTTCCGACAATAGATACACTACTGCGCCACGTCTTGTACGCAAAATTTTTAATGCCATATGTACTGTAATAACAATGATAACTTCTCTGATATATTTCAGGCTAGAAACTGGGAGAAGGCACTGGAGCTGTATGAGAATATAAAGGCTCTTAAACTGAAGTTAACGGTTTCTACAGTTAATGCTTTAATTACTTCCTTGTGTAAGACTCTTATCTGTTATTGTTATTTGTGGCTTCAAAGTTAACAGTTTATTAATTGGTTATGCGGCTTTTTGTTTCTCTTTGAGACAAATTATGTTGTTAATTTGTATTGGAGGTCAATGCAACTATCAAACCAAATATATGGCAAGTGAGAGTTGCTTTAAATTAATAAATAGTTTATATATTATCTTTTGCCCTTCCCTCAAAAGTTATATCTCATTTAACCCTTTAAAGGGTTAGGTTAAAGGTTCATAGCATTGATAATCTTAAAGTATAATATAAAAATACATTATTTGAACATAAAAAAAATGGTTGTCCCTTTTTTTCATATATATGGGGTAAGGGGGAGGTAAGATAGTAGGCTACCCCCAACACCAGGTTGAGAGCAGCTTCCGTAAGAGACCTCCGAATTATGAAATGCCCTCCGTGGGACTCGATCCCACGACCTCCGAATTTGAACATGATAGTTATTAATGATAACTCGAGTACAGACTGATACCGTCTTAAATACAGGTGAAGCAAATCAGCTGCCTAAGGCCTTGGAAGTTTTGTCAGAGATGAAGCAATTCGGATTGAGTCCAAATACTATTACATACTCAATACTTTTGGTGGCAAGTGAGAGGTAAGTGCACACTGGAGTCTGGTAGTATCACAGACACATAAACAGTATATGTATGCATTTACCCAGTCAACCTCTGAAGTTTGGTGCATTAACTACCGTTTTCCTTCATCATCTGTCTTTAATAGGAATGATGATCTTGAAGTAGGTCTCATGCTCCTCTCTAAGGCAAGAGATGATGGGATTGCAACTAACCTCATCATGTCCAGATGCATAATTGGTAAGTTTAAACTCTGTGTTGCTTAAGAGTGCTATGATATTACCTTCTGAATGACTTACCTCGCTATTATGCTTTCCAAAGGTCTTTTTCCTCTCAGTCCCCTTGAAAATTGGTTCCTTTATTTGCTGTAGTAAGTTCCTCTTTTGGAACTAATAGAATGTGGTGGTTTTTTTTTATAAGAATGTTGTGGTGGTTTTGGTGATGGATTTTTTAATTTTTTTTATTTTACTACTTAAATATCCTTACCAATCAAATACTTCGGATTTTAGCTTCATGTTCATGGTATTTATTTGAAAGCAAAAGTGATTTTATCGTGTTTTATGCTTTTTGTATTTTAAGCATATGAATGCTTGAACTGCTTGGTTTGTAGTTCACACACACACACGCACACACACACACACACACAAATTCCAAGTGAACTACAGGGCATTCATATAAAGATCATTTTATCCCCAGTAATTTTTGGTGCACACATACGCACACAATCTTCAACGAGTTTATATAACCCTTTCGGTATTCTCTTTGTAGACATGTGCTTGCGAAGATTTAAGAAGGCTTGTACGGTTGGTGAGACTGTTTTGTCTTTTTATTCAGGACGACCGCATATTGAAAACAAATGGTACAGGATTCCTTTGACAACTTTACTATTTTTTTTTAATTAAACCCACTTTTGCCTTTGATCTTAGTAGAAATACTGAAGAATTGCCAATTTTTTCTTTGGTTGGGGAGGGTTGTATTCTATATGACCTCTCTTTATCATATATTTAAGGGGATATTATACTTACTCCATTTTAGTGGTGTTAGCTTTTGCTTTACTTTTTAAATGATACCTGATCGGCGAACTTGGTCAAATTTTCCTACTTCATGCTAATTAAGTAAACAAAAAAGTTTTGATTGAAAAATGCTATCTATGATTCCTGCTTTCGTTATTTACTTTGAAAACTACGAAAGATTTTGGCAATAATTGATTTTGATTTCTTGCTTGGATTTTAGGACGTCAGTTGCCTTGACTGTCTACCGTGAAACTATTAATGCTGGTACATTACCTACCATGGAAGTTGTTTCAAAAATTTTAGGATGTTTACAGCTCCCTTGTGATGATTCTGTGAGAAGTAGACTTGTTGAGAACCTTGAAGTTACTGCTGATCCATCAAAATACTCTAGCCTTGGTTCACTGATAGATGGATTCGGCGAATATGATCCTCGTGCTTTTTCAGTAATTGAGGTAAGTAATGCTCAACTGTAATTTGCCTGTTCTTTGTGCTCATGATTTGGAATTTGGAAAGAGTGGTTATATCCCATGCATGTGTTACCCTTTTCTAGGAGGCTGCTTCTTTTGGGATTGTTCCATGCGTATCCTTCAAAGAAAGTCCTATTGTTGTAGATGCAAGAGAGATGCAAATTAATACAGCAGAGGTATGTGCATCTCTTTCCTCTTGTGTAATGTTATAAAAGGTTCCATATCTTTAAGGAACTTTAACTTTGCATGCAATGAGGTTAACTGCTTCCTTATGAGAGTGCATTGGACTTCGGAAGCTTTATGTGTCCTATTGTTTAATGAGAATATGAATGCTTGAACTGCTTGGTCTTTATAATTTTATTTGAAGATCTATGTATAATTTTGACTTTATAACAACTGGAATTTGATTAACCTGAGAAAGTTTCTGTTTTCCCCTTTGGAATTTTATCGTTTTTGTTCCAGATTCCTACGTAGTATATTATTATTTTTTAGTTCCAATGTACAAAAGCGTGAATGAATGGTCAGAATTTTATAAAGCTCAACGAATTTTATACTGTGTGCGGTTGATTTGAGCAAACTACATAATGCTTTAGTTAAGAATCTCATATTACTAATTACTGTGCACAATTTGGTCAGGTTTATCTCTTAACCATCTTGAAAGGTCTCAAGCATCGGCTTGCTGCTGGTAATATGATCTCATTTTCTTTTCTTTTATTATCTACTCTGGGATTTTCCCCGACTTTTTAATAAATCCCTGATTCGTAAGATTGCTGGAACTACGAGAGTGTTTTAGCAGAAGACTATCAATGCAAGGGAAAGAGTGTGCGGGAAGAGCAGTTGAAATTCAGTTCATCGGATAATAATCAGTTGCAATTTCAGTTGTAGATTGTCGAGGGTTGCTAGGAGGGTTTAAATACTGCAATTGTAAATTGAGAAGCTATGTTGAATAATACCGTTCTCATTCTGGGAAGTTTCTTGTCTTTTATCTCTAAAAACCTCCATTAGTTGCACTGTTCGGAAGTTTTTCTCTCTTCAGCATCCCTACAACACTAATTTCATCTCTATTAGATTCTTTTCATACCATCTTCAACGATTTACAACTGAAATTGGAACTGATCAACTGACTCTCAACTGCTCTTAACAGCCGACTGCTTCTCCCACACATTCTTTCCCTTGCATCAACTAGTATTTTGTATACATGTCAGTTTTTACATTAGGATGGATTGTACCGTGTGATACTGATAATCAAATGACAGAAACAACTTATTTAATTGTATAACATTGGTACATGATAGGATTGCTTTCATATTACATTACTAACTTCTGTCGGTATTCTTGGTACACCCATCTTTGTGCAGGTGCAAAATTACCAAGTATATCCGTCTTACTGCCCTTGGAGAAGGCAACATTATTGACATCTAAAGGGGAGAAATCAATCGATCTTGCTGGAAGGTTAGAGGAGCTTCTGCTTGCATAAACAACATTCATGCAGTCATACTACACACCCCAAGTATTTCCACAATCAGTGCTAGATATCTTTAGTACTTTATCATGTGTTAATAATGTAATGGTTCAGAAAGTGATTTTTGTTAAAATTAAGGAATACCAAATTTTTCAACGGTAAGAAAGATATAAGACCGTTTATGAGGTGGTGATTATTTTAAGTAGTCGTCGTCACAGCAGAAACTAGCGGTTATCAGTTTATATTTCATGCAATGAGAATATATATCCAAAAATCTATGAATTGGAATGATGGTTTCTTATGTGAGCTACTTTTGTCTGACAGGATTGGCCAGGCAATGGCATCACTATTGAGAAGAATGGGGTTACCATACCAAGGGAATGAATCCTATGGAAAAATCAGAATCAATGGCCTTGCACTAAGAAGATGGTTTCGACCAAAGCTTGCTTCTCCATTCACTGGAAAACCAGGTGAGTGGAATGCTTCCCGAATGCGATTGGGAAAAGGAATCTCCCATCAGCAACGCAACATTCGAACCGGCAATCTCTCTTTGCATTAAAGGTCGAATCTTTGGAACTGATTACATGGAAGAATCAGTTGTCTCTCCAGAAACAAAAGCTGATGATTTGTACTTTCACGGCCTTCTTCTACTGACTAGATTGATGAGTAGTCGATGGGAAGATTAACAAAGAATTTTTTCCGGTCATCATTTTGTAGCTTTTGAGATTTTGGCTCAAGAACTTGATGAAGTTAAGAACATGGATAAAGAAGCTTGGTATACAAGATATTTATTTATTTTCTCTGAAAATAATGTATAGCGTCCCTGTCAGCTTAGACTTAGTGGTTTGTACTCCGTACAAAGGGTTTGCAGCTTCTTTTTTTTACGAGAGATGAGATTGGAAGGCAAAGCAACTAGTCGCATTGGTATTTCACCTATATACACCATGTAACTATTAAGTTCAATTACCAGACCTTTTGTATTTTCCTGACCAAGCTATGCAAGGACAAACCTAGTCAGAAATAAAAAACAACAACAACAACAAAACCCTATTCCTATATGTAATGGGGTAAGGGAGAGGTAGGGTAGTAGGCTGTCCTCCAACGCCAGGTTGAGAGCAGCTTCCGTGGAGGACCTCCGGCAGTCAAAAAATTAAAAATAAAGATAAAATACAATGTATACTTAAATAAATAAATAAAATACGTAGTTGAACAATCTTCATATGCAGTCCTCATATGCACGTCTGTAATGGTAAGTAGTCCCTGCAAATAAATCCCTGCATAAAAATATCTGCATATAGACAGAAACGTAAGACCCGGCCAAAATTATAAAGAGGAAACATGTTGAGCAGTATACACAAAATTCAACGATAGCATGCTTCGAGAAGGGATAAAGTCAAATGGGTTAGAACCTAAACTAAGGCAACACTACTCTGCTACCTTAGTTCTAGGCCTTCATAAATTCCAATGACAGAAACGTATAAAAAGTATAAGTAATGAAATTACTACAAAGGCATTAAAAGAAGACAAAGATGATACACAGATGTGACTCGCCCTACTCGGCTACCCTGGTCTTAAGTCGCCATAATTTCCTATCAGAGTTCATGTCCTCGGTAAGGGCTAAATCCTTCAAATCAGATCTCAAACAGTCTTCCCATTTCTGCCTTGGTCTACCTCTCCTTCTGGTACCGTCGACTGTAATCGACTCTACCCTCCTAACCGCATCCGATGGTTGTCGTCTTTGGACATGCCCAAACCACCGTAGTCTTCCCTCCCTCAATTTTTCGGTTACATGCACCACCCCTAAGGACATCCTAATAGCAGAGTTTGGTGTCATGTCCCACAACGTCCTACCACATACCCATCGAAGCATTCTCATTTCTGCGGCCTCCATCTTCCTTACGTGATCCTTCTTGATAGCCCAACATTCTGATCCATACAGCAGCGCTGGTCTTATTGCCATTCTATAAAATTTTCCCTTAAGTTTTAGAGGTACCTTCTTGTCACACAAAACTCCAGTAGCAGCCCTCCACTTTAGCCATCCCGCCTTTATACGGTGAGAAACGTTTTCATCTACACCCCCATCTTTACGTATCATAGACCCTAGGTACTTGAAACAATCCTTTGAGGGGAGAATGTGTCATTCTATGTATATTTCTACATCTTCATCGTTTTGGTTCACACTGAAGTTTGAACATAAATACTTTGTCTTTTCAATATTGATCCTTAGACATTTTTATTCCAAAGCTGTTTTCCAAGTAGACAGTCTACTATTCAGCTCAGTTTTAGTTTCAGCCACTAAGACAATGTCGTCAGCGAAAAGCATACACCATGGCACACCGTCTGGTGTCGCACAATAGATGTCGTCCATAATCAAAGCGAAGATGTAAGGGCTAAGAGCCGACCCTTGGTGGAGTCCGATTTCCACCGGGAATGCCTCGGTGTCACCAAATGTAGTCCTGACATAGGTAGTAGATCTACAGTACATATCACGAATCGCGCGGATATAAGCAGTTGGGATCCGTCTCGTTTCCAATGTCTTCCAGATCGTATCGCGGGGAACGCTATCATACGCCTTCTCAAGGTCAATGAACGCCATGTGAAGATCTCTATTTTTTTTCCCTATATTTCTCCATAAGCCGTCGAAGTAGATGAATCGCCTCCGTAGTAGACCTGCCTGGCATAAAGCCAAATTGGTTTTCTGAAACCCTAGTAACCTGTCTCAACCTAGCCTCTATCACCCTTTCCCATAGCTTCATGGTATGACTGAGTAGTTTAATACCTCTGTAGTTGCCACAACGTTGGGGATCGCCTTTATTCTTATAGATTGGTATCACCGTAGACTCTCTCCACTCCTCTGGCATCTTGGCAGTCTCTAGAATAATATTAAAGATGTTGGTCAACCACTTAACTCCCTCTTCTCCTAGGGCCAACCACACAGTGATAGGAATTTGATCTAGACCGACAGCTTTGTCCATTCCCATCTTTCTAAGAGCCATTTTGACTTCCTCAAATCCAATCTTACTTGTAGGGCAGTCAATGACCGTTGTATGATGGTCGGTTGACCCATCAACGGTACTATCTCTACAGGGAGAGGCACCGTCATTAAATAAGCCAATAAAGTAACTACCCCAAACCCTCTTAATATCATGATCTTTCACTAAGAGGACACCATTGTTGTCCTTAATAAACCTAATGCTACCTACAGTGTGAATTCACAGAATTTACTATGATGATGTGAGGAAATTGGATATTCAATACAGAAAACTACAGAAATGTCTCTACCAACTGAATAGGCATTCTATTAGAGATGTGGCCATTGCTAGATGTTGATGCACCATGGGATTCATGGCCTACAAATCCCACTCCTTGTCACAAAGCAATAATGGAAGCGGCGCGTGAATATCAAGAAAGTATTCTTGATCCCTCAGAATGGTCCCAAGATTACCCTTGGATCATTAACACTGCAGCAACACTGTCGACAGAAGAAACAAACTCAGCAACAGTTTTAGCAGATGAAAAAATGGACGTGAACCCAGAAGATGCTTATGAAGCTTATCGTCTGGAAAGCTACATAAGAAACAAGAAAAAGAAGACAAAATTATTGAGCTGAATCTGACTTCTGATGAGTCTACAGATTATAGTGATATTTAAGCTTTTATGCTTTTGCTTTTGCTTTTACGTGTTCTAGCTTTTGCTTTTATGTATTCTAAATTTTTAGACTTTATCGGGTATCCTAGCTTTTGCTTTTATGTATTCTAAATTTTTAGACTTTATTGGGTATCCTATGTTTAATGCTATTAAACGTGGAAAATTTGTATGTTTGTCGTATTTCTCTCCTCCTGCTTATAAATGGAGAATTGATGTCTGTAAGAAGGCTAAAATCGTGTGTTTTCCTCTAAAAATGGCTTTCTAAGTTTCTTTTCTTCTTTTTTTCTAATTCTTTGAGGATGAATGAATAGATCTCCAGTGAGTTTTTTTGGTGTATGCTCTGCAATTTGCCATTTATATGAATCTTGTTTGCATCAAAAACCATGAAAGCTTAGACTGAGGAACTAAGTATGATGACAGTTTTGAAAGGAATTGTGATTAGTTATTGTAGCTAACAAGTAGTATCCCTCTGGCTGTAAAGAAGCCCTTCATATGGCATATCTGCTACAGTATTCCGATCATATTTCCAGGCCATATTAATACAGGAAATCATCAAGAGTAAATGTATACTTTCATTCATTGACTGAGAAATGTTTGCGATTTCCTTGTTGCTGAACTTTCTTCCATGGGATCAGGATGCACCGATTTATAAGAGATGAAACCTTTGGATACAAGGGTAACAATTTTAGTTGATTTCATACCGGACCCTCATAAATCCCATCTCATCCCTTAATTCCTTCCTCTAACCTTCTTTCTTTTTATCTTTGATTTGTTAGACCCTAAGTTTCATTCCTTTTCTCATGTTGATCTGATCAACACTGGCCGATGATTCGGTCACTGTTGTTTTGTAAACTTGTGTAAACTACCTTCTTGAAATTCTATTTATTCTTGTGTGTTTGTTTTAGTCCCACAACTATTTATTTAGCAAATCTAACATTCTGTTTTATTTCTATTTTGATCATCACTTATTAAATTTTCATTAAAAAGTAATGGATATGATAATATGATATTTTAATTTTAATCTTAAAATTTATACAATTTAATAGTTATGTCATAATTCAAAATAATTTTTAAATTTAATTAATATTTAAAATATTTGAGTCACGTTTCAAAATTTTCAAATTCTCATTTCTTTCCCAAATTTCAATGTTAGAATAGAGCAATGTGCCTCCTTATCTAAGGCAAAGAGATGATGGTGTTGGACCTAACCTCGTAATGTCTAGGTATGCATGGTTGGTTAGTTGAACTATGTGTTGCATAGTTGTGCTATGATATTAGCCTTTGAATGAATCTTACCTAACTATTATGCTTTACAATTTATTTTGCTTTAGTATCTTTTTCCTCTCCATCTTTTCCTCCAAAATTAATCTATCATTTGCTGTAGTATGCTAATTTATTGTAATTAATAGAATATGATTGTTTGTTGAATTGAAATTTGTTGTTATGATCGGTTATCTCTTTTGTTGTTATGTCGGTGTCTTTTCTAAATCATGATAGTTATATATATGTTGATAGAGTAAATAGATAAAACCATCATATAACAGATTTGACTCTGACAGATTACGTGACTCTGTCAATGACCATGTCAAAATATTGTGATTGAATAGAGGATTTGAAACTTCGGAGGTTTCGAATGATCGGAAGAGTTCCCTTCAGAAGCTTCGATAGACGAATGAATAACAACAAAAATGTGATTTGCGAGAAGATCCAGAAGATGTACAACACTGCTGATACTGGTGATCCATCAAGATGCTCTAGTGTTTGTTCATTAGAGGTAAGGAATATTCAACTGTAAATTGCCTGTTCTTTGTGCTCAGGATTTGGACTGTTCCATGCGTAAAGAAAGACCTGTTGTTGTAGATGCGGCAGAGTTGCAAATTAATACAGCCGAGGTATGTGAATCTCTTCTGTCTTTCAATGTTGTAAGAAAGTCCCATTTCATTAGAAAAAAGTTTACCTTTACTGGGATTCTGCTTAACTGCTTCCTCATGAGAGTGCATTGGAAATTGGGAGCAAAAAATGCCCTGTAGTTCACTACGAATATGAATACTTGATCTGCTCGGTCTTTATAATTTCCTTGGTGATCTCAAATAATAGACAAATCATAGGGTTATGGGTGTCTATTGTCAGTAAACAAACTGTGATTCTGAGAGGACCCTCCATGCAAAAGCTCACATGGGTTATTTCACACACTCTGATCTATAAGTACTTAGAAAGGATTTAAATAACAGTGTGTT